AATGTGCTGTGATTTATCAGCTGGGGACATAAGGTGATATCTAATAGTTGAAATTGTACCATTTTCACATGTGGTGTGTTGTCGTAAATAAAAATGAACGTGAAGTGCACCCTTAATCCAGGGTTTGAACCCACAACCTATATTTCCCAGCCAGATGTGTAACCACTAAGCCACAATGCCCCATTCTGGTCTTCCAGAAGAACTCACTCACTTTCTTCCGGTGGAGTCCACTGTCTGTATGAAGAAGAACCGAGCAGGAAGGAAGATGTTTGTTTCCAGTCCAGGACCCCAGATCAAAGTTTGGCTCGCGCTGGGCGCTGCCGCTGCCTTTGATCTCCGCGTCATGAAAATGATGCAAAGCATCAAGAGCAGCAAAAGTTTTCTCAACATGTTTATAGAGGATGAGGACACTTTCAGTAGTGGACGCGTTCATTTATCATCACTTCCTCAGAATGACAATGCTCTTTAAAACATTGCTTAAAAACACGAATGATACATTTCACCACATACTCACATTCACCAGCGGCTCGGTGCGCAAACCAACCCAGACACCATCGTGAGAAAATCTCTGTCACAGACCCAAGGCGCTCATGTGATTGGTCTGTGTGCGTCAATGACGCAACGTACTGGAAGCTGATTGGCTCTCTAATAGGAAGAGGAAAGACGCGTGCTAATGCTGCTTGTAGTCGGCGCTGCTTCAGTGCATTCATTGTACATAGGGGATCCGTTAATCACAATGAGCTTATAACTCGTACAAAATAAGAACAGGGTATTGCAGCTCATTAAGAAATCATTTTACTTAAAGGGGTCATATGATGTTGCTAAAAATAACATTATTTTGTATGTGGGGGCGTGTTAGAACGAGCCATTTTAGGTAGGTGTGGCTGACTCTTAACTTTTATAAAGAATATCTCTTTGGATTTGAGACTTTAGTCTTTGCAACTTTACAGATCTTCTTTATGCACCAAGAGCTTGCAACACTCCAAAGAGAAAGGAAAAATTGAAATCGCATCATATGACCCCTTTAAGAGATTCTAATAACATCAGACAGACAGACAAACAGATAGATAGATAGATAGATAGATAGATACCCCATGGCATGAGGTATAAATGTTAAGAGATAGGAAAAACACATCTGATGCCATTTACAGGCCAGTATATTCATATGTATCTTTGCATATGAAACTAAGCAGTCTTCTTTGATCCATATGTGACCCTGGACCACAAAACCAGTCATAAGGGTCAATTTTTTACATCATCTGATTTATACATCATCTGAAAGCTTGTACATCATCATAAATAAGCTTTCAATTGATGTATGGTTTGTTAGGATAGGACAATATTTGGCCGAGATACAACTATTTTAAAATCTGGAATCTGAGGGTGCAAAAAAATCTAAATATTGAGAAAATCGCCTTTAAAGTTGTCCAAACGAAGTTCTTAGCAATGCATATCACTAATCAAAAATTAAGTTTTAATATATTTACAGTAGAAAATTTACTAAATATCTTCATGGAACATGATCTTTACTTAATATCCTAATGACTTTTGGCATAAAAGAAAAATCTATAATTTTGACCCATACAATGTATTTTTGGCTATAGCTAGAAATATACCCCAGCGACTTAAGACTCATTTTGTGGTCCAGGGTCATATATAAGAATACACATTAAGTTATTTTACGTACATGGCACTGTAGGGTTGATCTTGGTTGACATCTTACTAGCCCATCATATTACAGAGACAAACCAGTCTTATGATGTGTACATCAATAAATGTTTATTTCAATTTGATTTGCATCAACATATTTTTCCATTTTATTTTCAATAACCTCTATAACACTACTAGAATATCGATAAGAACGAAAGGTGGCATTATCCATTTAAACAAGACCGACGTTGCTGCCTTCTCTGAAGGTATCAGAGGACCAGGTGTTGGGGTGGAGGAAACTAGTTAGACCTACAGAACTTCAGTCAGAATATCAGACACGGTACCATCTTTAAACAGGTACGACATTCACAGAGGAATATCCAAATCACATAATTTAGTTCAATGACCATGTCGCTCTCCTCCAGGTTGAACTGTACATTTTCATATAAAAACTGAGAACATACAAATAAAACACCCTGTCTGTGAGAGTCAGTTTTTACTTATTTTGACACTGAAGAGGAATTATTGGAGCATCAGTTGAAACAAATGTAATGGTGAACATGAACTAAAACCCACGTACAGGAGCAGAGAGCATCTTTACATGGTTTTGGCATCTTAGAGTCTTGAGTGTCTTCTTGAGTCCAAATCTCCACACATGCATTGTCTTCCTTCCTTAATCATGAGCTATTATTTCAACATAAAAGCATAAGGAAAAAAGTAATATTGCGTAAGAGCCCAAGTTTGACTAATGGTTGATGATGTGTATTCTCGTGAGCCTTGAATTCGTATTTTAATGCACAACATCTACGTTACTGAGTAGCAGTTTGTATATACAAAGCCAAATGGGCAGAGGCATGGACTACGGAAGATATGCTGAGATTGTTACAGTAAAGCACTAGAAGGTCAGAGGTCATCAGAGGACAAATCATAGAAACACAACATGAGTCTCAAATACGATTCTGGAAGATTTAGCTTACACGTAACACTAATTCACGCAGAGCGGCTCACTCGATTTGATCTTTCCAGACACATATTCAAAAAAACATGAATATTCATCAGTAGCGCCCACTGATCGGTCTAAACACCATTTCCACAGTCAATTGACAACCAGAAGACACAAGCGAACAATCTTCTGACACTAACAGCAGTAGGTAGGAAACATCGTTTTGACATTATATTAAAGGAAAAAAAGAAGAAGAAATGAACAAAAGTTGTCCCTTGTACTAGAATGTGAGGAAAATCTTTCCATGATGCATTCGAACTTCGGCAGAGAAAACGAAGATCACTCACTCGTTGTCCTAAACAACGAGTACAAAAGGTACAAAACAACGCACAATTTTTGTTACACGTGCCCTGAGGCAACCGAAGAGACTAGAAACGAAATAACAGGCCAGCTGAAATTGACCATTTAAAATAAAACGAACATTATGACGAACTAGAAAACAAATCAAACTGTATTTGTACTTCCACAGACATGCATGAAGAGCCAATCCTTCCATCCAAGTTTGGCTGACTTGAAGTAAGAGCCCAGAAGATCAACCACAGATGAGTTAATTCATCGCTAGTTTACAGTTAAAGATACTTCACCCATCTAGAATATGGCACGTTAGTTATTACATATGAGAAACACGCTCGAAAAGGACCTCACAGACACACACTCGTCACGTGGCGCCAAATACATTTTACTACTCACACTTCTAAAACCATGTCACGTCATACGTCTCTAGGAGAGGGTGAAGTACCTTTTGAAGACAGATTAAAAAGTTGTTTGTGGTGCTTTTTGCGAGCTAGCAGCAAAGAAAACGGAAAAAGTTTGCGTTTGTGACTGAACGTCGTTGGAGTGGCCAACTGAGCCGCCGTCGGCCTGATTTGCAGTACGAGGGTGGATAAGTTGCTGTCAAATATGACAAGACAGAGTGGTAAATATTCTGAAAATATACATTGCTGAAAGGAACAGTATGGCGTCATCAAAAAACAAAATATTTTGGCCTTATAGCAATGCAGGTATACATTTTTTTTAGTTTATATATATATATTTGTTTGCTATTTCAAAAAATATAATTTTTTTTTGTCAGTTTCTATTATTGGCTAAGGTTATTAAATAAAAGTTTGTTAATCTTTTATTTCCATTTTGTTTTAAAGTAACATGCTGCTTTTTAATATGGCAGTTTTACGTTTTTATAGGTCGTCCATTTTGTTTCATGCACTCTTGTTGATTTTGTAACTGTCCGAGTATCTACACGGTGTGAGCCAATTTGCTTCTTGTGAGGAGACCCCGAACCACCCCTGTTCATGAATGAAGATGTCGTCTGATTTACAACATGGGTATGGAACCCCTCTTACTCTTCAATGCTAATGGTACATGTCCATTATATCGTAACCTGGTCTTAGCCTTTTTAACCAATCAGAGTAAGACAATCCTGTACACAGGCGGAAGAGAAGCTGAACAGCCCTTGGTCCATTTGTCTCGTTCGCTCTCTCTCTTTAAAAGAGTGAAAGTCCAAGTACCAAAGTAGCACCCTCTTGTGGCACGAGCGTGAAATGTGCCCTGCCTCGAGGATCCTCTAAAACTGATACCACTTCTTGTCTTTGCATTTCAGCATCAGCTGTGGAGGGCGAAAGTGAAAACAAAAAAAATTGTATAAGCATGTTATGATTTATTTGTATTCATATTTCTGTTTTCTCATTCTTTCACTCTGCTACATACCTCGTGAGCGTGTTTAGAGAAGCTTTCAGCACTGGTCATCATCAGGGCAGTCCTTTCCTCCAGCTCCCCCAGCCTCTGTCCTCTCTCGTCCAGGGCAATGCGAGCTCGAGCCAGTTCTCCCACCACCCCGCCTGCTGCTGCCTTCATGCCCTCCATTCTGCCCTGTCCTGGGATGTGCTGTGCCAGGCTGCGGGACGCCTTACCCGCCGCTGCCTCACCAACTGCAGAGCAGGAGAGATAAAGTGAAACAAGGCAGTGATGTTATTATTAACTAAAATTAAAACTAAAAAAGGAAAAGTAATTTAACTAATTAAAATAAATATAAATCAGGAAAATAAAAAAACAAGAGTTATATAATAGTATATAAACAACACTAAAATAACACTAAAACCAGGAAAAGTGAGAAAAGAGAATAAAAGAGAGAAATATTTCAGATTTACAGATTAAAACTGATTAAAATACTTTTCAAATTAAAGATGGACACTTTATATGTCAACATAGACAGTCTCCTCCTTGCTGAACCAGATTCCACGATAGTGAAAGGTCTGGATCTGTGAGTATATGCTTGCACAGTGCACACACACACACACACACACACACACACACACACACACACACACACACACACACAGACAGACACACA